GCCAGCAAAAGCCAACAGAAGCTAGCAAAAGCTACCAGAAGCCACCAGAAGCCAACAGAGATACCTAATGCCTAAACGTGAAAAAAAATCCCAAAAAAAGCCGAAAAAAAATCCTAGAAAAATATGAGTTCCTATATGGAGTTCCAAAGGGGTGGAGAAAGATTATATATAGGCCAGTTCAATCAGAGAATGGACACGCCATGACAGCGAAGAACACGCTCCAATCACCACCCCATGACAACCTCTGGAAACGACTGAAGGCTGAAGGAAGAACTTCCCAAAGAGAGGCAAGAACCATGCTTCTCCAACCCTGCTTTCTTTTCTGACCACAGCTCAAGTGTCGCCACATAGCTGCGAACCTGCTCGGAGATCGCTGCGCAATCTTCTGCCTGCAAGAAGTCGTGTGTGGCCTCCAGGACCGAAACAGGAGAAGACACAGCATCACCACTCCCTGAGGGACCTCGTTACGGAAGTGGAAGGGGAAATGGACGACCAGAGCAACTCTTCCAAGCAGGTGGTGAAATCACTCCCCACGTCACCATGATGATTTCTCAGGGAAACTTTGGAATACCTTGGGGCTATCCTGTATAAGGAGGTATGGTCATAGGCCCTGGTGATTCGGTGATTCGGAGGGTCGATGAACCACCCAAACCCCTTGGCACAAGAAGATATGCATGTGTAACTGAGAGTATTCACCAGGCCACAACCCCCCTGCAACTGGAAGGTTCTTTAAATAATGAACCAAAAACAGACCAAAACCGTCCAAAACCCCAAAGCCAAACAAACGTCTCTCCCTAATTAGTGAAAGAAAAATACATCAATAACATCTATAAAATACATCTCAGAGCCAATGAATCACTGGGCAAAACGCCCCAGATCTCGTGTCCCGGTCGATCGCCATGCTGCTCGGTCGCGTTGCTAGGAGACGTCTCGGGAGACGGTGTCCCGGTGTACCCGACTGGACTCGGACCCCCCCGGTGCTGGGACTCGGAAAAAACAAGCCCAAACAACTCGTGTTTTTGAAGCAAAAGGAGTAGAACTGCTAAAAGGGGGGGGGTAACAAGCTCCAGCTTCTCAAATGTTCCGAACGTTCCATGCGTTTTGCTCTTCTGGGCTGCTTCCAGTGAACCATCCAATCATCGGCTTGCACTAACTAACTATAACAGTCTGACTAACAGTCTGAGGTCTACAAATTCTGCTAAGGGGTGCACAGTAGTGAGATCATAGGTGCTCTCCTTCACTCCTTCACCTGCTGGATGGGGATGGGGATGGATGTGTTTCCATGCACATCGGCCTCCACTGCCGAGCGCCAAACCTCAAAGAGCGCCTCTTGATCAGCTGAGGTGGAGCCCCGCGACCGTGGCATGGTTCAGCGAAAACCCACCAGGGGTGGCGATGCAGCGGATGCAGCGGATCGCTGGGCGTGGACTTGAATTTCAACTTGGTACTGCTCGGCATGTTGCTGGGTTTCTTGGCCCTCGAGTCTAAGCGTAACGTGTTTGTGTGTGTAAGTGCGTGTTTTCAATTTATGTGAAATCGATAAATATCTGCTTTTTGGCAATGGTCAAAGAAAGTACAGCCTTGAACACATGATGTCTCTACCAAGCAGTGCTGCGTTGCAAAGCTCTCAGCCAAGCATCACAGTCAAGAGGTTGATGGTTGGTTGGCTAAAAACACAAAGAGATGGGTGTGTGCTGGAAACGGATACCATCAGCAAAAAGAAATGACACCTTCTACCTCGAACAAATTCTCTGGCCCAGGTTCCGAGAAGGGGAGTCATTTTCGTGGGACATTCGTATCACACGGATGCTTTCCAATAATTAATGACACCCTGTGATGTACAGACTCCAAGTAGGCAAGACTTCCAGCTGAAATGCTCAACTGAATGCCCAGAACTTGGGAGCCAAAGCCCTGACTGGTCTAGTGGGCTGAGAGTAGATGGCACAATCCCCGAAAGGTGGTATATTATGTTATATTTGGACTCACTTATGGACCCCTATCTAAAGACATCTTGGGACGTGATATGCACCAACACCCTCCAACTGGACATTCAAGAGGTCTCATTTGGGGGACAGCTTTTTATGCTTGAAGAATGGTCACCAAACCCAAATCATAGACCCACCTATGGCCATCCGCTTCTTAAAAACCATGGGTATAGTTAGTACTTATATCTCCAAAGCATACAATAATAGTGGATCCCAAACCTTAAAACTGCCTCCACCTCCCACACCCGGTGCGCCCTTCCTCCACTCGGCCTGGCGACGACCTCACCCCCCGCTCTCCTTGGCGCGGACCACCGCAGAGCGACGCTTCACGAAGCCTAAGATGGTCAGCTCTCCAAAGGACTCGCCACTATGGACCTCGCGCGAGCGAACGACGAACACGCGAGACGGACCGGTGCTCTGTCACCTGACCCCTTCGAAGAACACCTGCCACGCAGGTGTTGAAAGTGCCAATTCGGAAGGGAGTCCAAACAGACCCGTTAACGAGTCCGGGCAGATGTTTGTTGGCTCAGCGACATGTATTCACTAAGGTAATCTCAGAAGATGTTGCGTTCTGAACAACCTACCCACCTGTTACAAAGCTCCTGGCAGGATAGGCCGCAACGCAATGCATGTCACATGTGTTCATCCCAGCGTGAGTTCCGGGCCTCTTTGACGAAGCGATGGTTCACATAGACTTCTGCTGAGCCACCTTTGATGATGTACCTGTTTTCAGCATGGAGGCAAAGGCCTTACTGCTAAGTGTTTGACGGTTTTCTGCTGGAGATAAAGCAGCCCCCAGTATTTTGCAGGCAAATGAAAAGCACTCGAAGAACTTCAGCAAAAAGCTGCAGGAAGTAGGAAGACCATGGAAGCATATGCACGCAACCAGCTCAATTCATCAGATCCCTCTACCCCTCACTCTCTAGACAACTCCGACTCAACTCAAAGGAATTGACTCAAAGGCTTTCTGCTCCAACTTCGATCTCTGACATCGAGCTCAACCAGCCAACCAGCTCAATTCATCTCTCCCATCTCCCGCACCCTGAGCTCACCTACCCAAGGATGACTCCTTCTCCGCTCCGCCAGGTGAAACGTCCGGCCTTGCTCCACCACCGGTGACCCGTGCGACCCGACCCCCCCGTGCCCCGGGCTCGTCGTGCTCGGCCCGTCCGGGGCACATGGAACCCGAGTCGACGGCGCCCTGCACGGTGATCGTCTGTCCAATCTTGTAGGTCACCGTGCGAATGCAGCCTGTCAAGCTCCGAGCTCGCAAGCTTGGGAGCAGGAGCGGGAGGGCTCAGAGCAGGAACAGGAGGTCTCTGTGCTGACACGTCCATGAATCCTGAATGCTTCAAGAGATTGTTGCTGTGAACATCCAACCCAATATTTGTGTTGCAAGCTGAGAACTAACTACTGATGAACCGACGTCAGTTGGGGACACGCAACAGGACACCAAACCTTGGAGACGCATCTAAAAGCAATGGACACCCAATACTCTCTTCACCCTCTTCACCTCAAGGACACATAGAACAAAGATCGAACCAGTTGTTCTTTTTAAGTAGCTCGCTTGGCCTCAAGTCGACGTCTCACCATGTCGTGAACTCCACCGTTGCTTCGGCTCCCAAACTCGAGCGAAAAGCAGCGACGGGACAGGAGAGACCGCTCTATGTCCAAGCGTCCAAACATGTCCAAGCGTCCGAAGACGGAAAACCTATATGAACCGTATGAACACTCTCCCAACGAGTCCGGAGCAAACCCTCGGGCCATTCGCTACGAGTCCGGAGCGATCAGACGCTACGAACGGGGCTGGCCTTAACTACTATAGGAGCAAGAAGCTAACCTCCAATAAGTTATCCTCAAACAGCTCGTGAAAGATTCGAGGACTCCGGGGCCTGCGATGGCCGCCAGAAATCCCGGGCCACAGCCCTGTAGAATGCCTCGAGCGAGAAGGGAGGACTACACAGAGGGCGCCATGAAGTAGGGACTTTGCAGAGCACAGCTGACTATCAAGAGTCTACACTGAGCTAATGGAGCAACCATATTGAATCATATTCAATCTATTGCAGTCCCGAGAACGACCCCAAGTCTAAGCAGCTTTAAACAAATGAGGCCTTCACCTTGGGCCACCAGCAAGTTCGGAGTCCCCTACGCATTCCAGTCACTGCGGACCACCAGAGTCCAGTCACTGCGGTGGTCACCGGACACCTCTTGAAACAAGCGAAAACAAAAAACAAGGCAAGTTTCAGATACAATTGGGTAGGTAGAAGAACACCTGGATGTAAGAATTCCTCGGGCTACTGTAACTTCATCAACTCACCAAACTATGGAGAACCAATCCACATGAAGTACAGTAGATGATTTCATCCTCCCATCGATCCTGCTCCAGATCGGGTTCGTGCAGTTGCAATCATCGGATGATTGGCACTGATGTGTGCTTCCAGCACCGGCTGCGGCACAGCATGCGCAAGCATGCGTAAGCAAGACTGATGACCGCTGAAACCTCGAGCCCAGCCTCTTTCAGGGCTTCAAATGGCTTCAGTATCCTCGCTCTATATCTTTGCTTCCAGACTCAGCTGTTTCCTCATTTGCCCTCGGCGCGCAGGTGGCGCCCATTGCTCCTGTTCCAGCAGATCTCAGTTTCGCACCAGAGAAATCCTCCTGGACTCGCTAGGGGATCCGCCGTGGCTCGGCACTGGCATCGCGAAGCGATCTCGTGAGGCACTGGCGGCCGCCGTGGTCTCGGTTTTTCTGCGAACTGAACCTGACCTTCCGTGGAAGGCAGGAGGCTCTAAGACCTTCCATGACCTAGCACATTCGCAGTGCCATATGATCTTCCACGGGCCTATGTTCCACTGCCATGATTCAGAGTGTAACTGTCCATTTTTTTTGCCGGCCTGGATCAGAGCGGAGATAGCTGAGGCTTGTTCACCGTTCTTCAAAGGAACCAATTTGGGTTGAAGGAGTAAGACTTGAGCTCCTCTTGCCAGTCACACCGAGTGATGCTCTCATGCCAGGCGGCCCTTGATGAAATAGGCCGACAGATTCCGACTTGACTTGCAGAATCCCATGGTGTTCAAACGAACTCATTGAAATCACATATGAGCTTGAACTTTAGTCAAGGTCACACCAAGCTGCCCCATGACCTGCCAGATCTTGCCAGGTCCGGTCCGGTGACCTCTCCCCCCCCGCGGATTTCTCGGTCTTCCAACGACCCTTCCGCCGTTTTCGGTTCTCATCGCTATGAACACAGGCGGCCAGGTGACTGAGGCTGGCCGCATCATGCTCGCGCTTGGCATTGCCACCGTCCGTCTTGTTGGACTCCTGGTTTGGTCGGAGGGGCAGGGGACGCTCTCCCAGGGAAGTGGGGTAGTTCATGAGACAAAGGCTGGGGAGTCCCATTGTCAACCACCATAATCCGGGAGTCTGTGGAGTGTGTGTCTGTGTGTGTGTCAACCCCTGGGCCAAGGGTTCACTACCGCCACCTCACCCACCGCAATTTTAACAACAGTTTCACCCGCAGGGGGCCAGCGCATGACATCACGACGCTGGCCAACGAAGCTAGTGATGTCATGAGATGCGGTCAGAGACGTCTGACCGTGTACCTGCCAGAAACTGTTGCTCGCGCTGTCCAATCTTCCCTTTTTGTTTTCATGGTTCTTCATGCTACCTCCCCCCAAACAGGTTTCTCAGCCACTTTCAGCAGCCGCGCTTTTTGCAGCTTGTCGCCGCAGTTGTGCACAAACCACTTGTTAAAACATCTTCAATTGATCGGACTCCTCACCTTACCGTTGAGCCATTCCTTTCCTCGGGGAATTGAGTTAACTGAATACAATTGTCAGAGTGTGTTTCGCTCAGCCGTCCCACTCGGGTGCTGAGTGTGATCCCCGTCACTGGGGCGCTGTCTCATCGTGCAAGCATTAACTGACCTCACCACTTTTCACAGGAACTCCACTGGAAGTCACCTCCACATCCACCGAATTAACTGCCACAACGGCCGCCGGGCCTAACCACGGGACAGTGTAGCAACGTTTGCAGCGTTTGCATTTTTCTGCATGTTTTTCCGCATGATCTTACATATGCACTCAAGCAATCCGACCTGAGTTTCCAACAGTTTAATTCGATGTGCATGAACACCCTACTACAGCTAGTGAGGCTCTATGTCCAAAAAGGACACAACCACAAAGCCTGCCACCGCTTTTTTCAATGACGGCGACCTGTGTGTGTCAACTGGCCAAGGCTTCACTACCGCCACCTCACCCACCGCAATTTTAACCACAGTTTCACCCGCAGGGGTCCAGCGCATGACATCACGACGCTGGCCAACGAAGCTAGTGATGTCATGGGATGCGGTCAGAGACGTCTGACCGTGTACCTGCCAGAAACTGTTGCTCGCGCTGTCCAATCTTCCCTTTTTGTTTTCATGGTTCTTCACGCTACCTCCCCCCAAACAGGTTTCTCAGCCACTTTCAGCAGCCGCGCTTTTTGCAGCTTGTCGCCGCAGTTGTGCACAAACCACTTGTTAAAACATCTTCAATTGATCGGACTCCTCACCTTACCGTTGAGCCATTCCTTTCCTCGGGGAATTGAGTTAACTGAATACAATTGTCAGAGTGTTTCTCCGGGTCTTTGACCGATGAGACTGGGTCGAAGCGTGTGTTTCTCCGTGTGTTGCAGCTCTTCCGAAGCATTTTCGGGGTCTCCCGGCTGTCCGGCTGCTCCACTTGACTCGGTGACGTCTGGTCCAGGAAGCATTGAACGGAGGGTTGGAACACCCAGCAAATCGCAAAGGACACCCACCTGGTGGTAGTGGTGTCGCTTTAGCAGGGGGAGAACCACTATCGTGGCTGCGTGAGCTAGAATCTATAATATTGACTTTTCTATTGCTCCTAGAAACCAAAGATCTTTGTGAAGATCGTGAAGATCCACTGCTGCCATCACAAAGATCGGCGAAGGCAAACACAGTCTGCAGTTTTTTGATAAGAAGAAACTGCATTTTTTGAAGGGGTATGGCTGGGTGTCAGCAACAGGAATTACAGTACACATACATCAGTAAATTAATCCGACCAGGATCATCCAATGTCCAATAGACTACCCTACCCTGCTTACGGACCTCCATTATCCTCCATTGGATGATCCAGAAGGAATCGAGTTCAAACTGTCTTTCTCTCGTGGATGTCGCATGGCGAATGCAGAAAATAAATAACATACTGTTTCGACAGCTGATGACCATACTGTTCGTCACCCCGCTAGTTCCAAGCCTCAAATATAAGCACAACACAATCAATCCTTTCTAGAACTCAAATTGCAGGAACTGAAATGCATGAACCGGAGCGCTCCACACATCTAGCCTAGCCTCACCAAGGTTCACCTGCCTAGCCTTGTCTCAAATTTACTCACGAAATCTTGCCGTAAGCACATCCGTCTTCACATTCAAAGAAGAGAAACTAATTAATCGAAAGGATTAAATGGTATTTATAATGTAAACTCTTTATTTAAACATTATATTATATTATATACTGTTTAAATCTATGAAGAATGAAGAGGTTTTGCAATCCATGTCTGGGGAGGGGTTATGAATCAAGAGTCCAAATTATTCCACCCGAATCTGACCCAATTGTTCTCACACCATGTCTTCACAAAAAAAAAGAAACAAACACATGAATTCGGTGCTTCTTCGCCTTGACCAATCTGAAGCGCTGCTGCTCCGAGGGGTAGTTCTCCAGGACCCCGTTGAAGGATTGCCTCGAAGACCGGGAGTGATCAGGACGATCCAACGGGAGTGATTCAAAGGACACCAGGCTGTCGACATGGGCTGGGGAGATGGCTGGTGTGGTTTCCGCTCCATCTTCGGTAGAAGAGTTGAAATTCAAAAAAAGAAACACAACAAACATCTGTCCCCCAAGTCTTCCACGTCCCTTTTTGGGCTCGTGCCACGAAACACAAGTCCAGTCGACCGTCCACTCCCTGTCCATCGGTCTGTCCCGTCCCGTGCCTGGGGATGAAGAGCAATAAGGCTAAAGGAGTGGCGATCCGGAAGCTGGCGTCTGGCCATTTGGGAGGCATGTTGAAGAACCTCGCGCAGTCAGTACGCGCGCAGTGCGCGGGAGGTTTGAGTATAGGCGCGGATTTTGGAGGTAGTGAGTAAGTAGTAGCTGCGTGAAGTGGCACGGTGAGCAAGTCGGACACCGATCTCACCCTTGGGGCAAACCCGGGTCTGGCTGCTGCCTGTTTGACTGCCTGGAGACGGTCTAGGAACATTTGGGGGCTCCTGGAGTGCAAAAGAGCCCACGTCGCAGGTTCACTGCGCGGTCAAAGGATGTCAAGAGGTACCTAGTCTTCAAAATTAAGCTGATTGAATATGAAGCAAATGAATAAATAATGGATATTTTTTGCATGTTTTTGCCAAGAATCAGCTTACAATATAACTAATTCTATGCAGACGCCCCAGTGGGCCCCGAACGTGATCTGAAGAAACATGCACTTTCCTGTGATCCCAGGGCAACACTGTGACGCTATGTACATGGGAAGACACAAAGTAACTACTATATACATATGATGTACTTCTACTTTACCCCTCCTTGTGCTCCTTGCAAGCACTTCTTTGTAGCACTTTGTCTTGGATTCTTACACGTAAATAGTAAGTCGGTGTTGGCTTCGTAGCGCACATAGTTCTGATAGTATTGGTTGGTTGCTTCAAACAAACCATTCGATGAGTGGATGATTTTGCAGTGGTTCCATAGAGGTCCCCAAATGGGAGTTTGGTAAGGCAAGACAAAGGTACATGTGAAGGGGCACCTATATTACATGCTTCTAACTTCTATTCTATCTTTTTCAGGTGGCATCAGATGAACTAAAATGGTCTGAAATTTGGATAAGGCTTGGATTTGCTTGAGGCTTAAGAAGGAACCACGCAAAAAAAAAATATAACAAAAATATTCCCCAGAAGTTAGGAGGCTTCATTCCTTTAACTGGGACAATCCCATTCGCTCGCGCTCCAATCCACCGAACCAGACCATTCGCTCGCCAGGGCACCGTCGTTCCCCAAGCACGGTGCCCACGTCGCAATAGCCGTGGCGCTTGATGCTGCCGTCACCTGCTATTTGTTCCCAGTGGATCCCAGTAACCACATAAGGAACCAGGGATGAACCAGCTTGGCCCTGGGGGTTCGTGGTGTTCTTTCAACATGAACGTCACCTGTTTTGTGTTGTGTTTGTACTGAAATGCAGTTTTGGGACACACGGACATACTGGACGCAGCCTCGAGATGTTCAGACCCGAAGAGAAAAGTTGTTCTCACCCAGACAGGGCAGGGCAACACACGTTGGTCAAACGTCTAACTGGGAAGACATCGGGTCAACGGTTTTGGTCAGACAGCATCAGCTAGCTTTGGAAATGAGATCCATATGACAAGTCAAAACACTGGTCCTGAATAAGTCAACAATTATATACACACACATGGTTCGTATCAAGTTCCCCTGTGAGCCGTTGGGTTGTATGAGGTTCCTGAGCAGTGAAGTGAAACATCGTTTTGGGGGTAATGTCCATACTTGGGTGTTTCAGGGGTCAGTTCAGCCCACCCACTCCGACGCATTCCCGCCTTGCCGACTCTCCACGCGACAGCGGCCGAACTCGATGACGCGCAAGGTCTCATCGAGAACGCCCTCCTGGCGTGGCCGTTCTGCTCCGTCTAAGACACTCCAAGAGCGACCCAAGAGACCCACATGGAACCAGAAAAAGAGCTGAAGGACATGTCATATGGAAGCTGAATCGCTGGAGACCCATATTTCATCCGCTGCTCTGAAGAGAAATCCCCAAGGATCCACATACCCTCTTTTCGAAGGTGATTGGACCCGACAATGGCGCCTACATGTCGAACACATCACCTTCTGAGAAGATGTCCAGTCCCGTGAGGAAGGGGTTGGGACTTTCCGTGCACCAGCATGGAACAAGCACGATCGAGCACCAGAATGAGGCAGCATGCAGCGCAGAGATGCGCACGCCATGTCTAGGGATATGGATGTCATACAATGTCGTATAGGACCTGAAGGCCACTGGGGTTGTAGAGGAAGAACTGTCTTTCCAAAGGTTCATTTCAGGGATTCTTCATGCATTTGAGGCGTCGAACCAAAAAAAAACACGGGCACAAGCGGTTCCTTCTTTTCTGCGTTCCGTGCTCTTTTCCATCGGCGCGGAATCGGGGTTTGAATGGGGACGATCGCTCACAAAAGGGTCTCATCTCCTCGCGGCAGGCATCACCGGCAAAGAAGACCTGCCGGGAGACTCCGTATGTCACAGGGTGGGCACGATTGAACTCAGGGGCACCCCGAAACCATCCCTTCGTTCGCAGGCGGGGCAAACTGGAGCGAACCTACGGGGGGTCGGAACGTCAGGCCCGGTGGAAGTCACGACAGGTCTCCGATGTCGCTACACACCCAGATCTGATAGGTATTCCGCCCCTGTTCTTCCATGCTGCTCGAAGAGCGCTCTTCTTAGGCATCGGTTCTCGCGGGCTGCGGTCTTTTTTTGTTAGGGAAGCCGAAGCCGAAGAGATTGCGGTGTGAATATGCGAAGGTGATCGTCCATGTTCCGCGGAAGGGAACATGATTTGATGTAGACTGGGAACTTGGGTGTTGAAATTTGCTAATTCCCACAAGCGTCACGCGAAGCTGTGTCTCTCCAGGATGCCACTGGAACTTAAAGGATTCTTGATGGATATCTCCTTAGCCAGTATTTATAGTATATTAGATATAATATATTGTAGAAAGTATATCAGTATATCCAAATATACAAGTACCAAATACTTCGAGTACTTCCATTTTACCTACAGGTGGTGACTTCAAGTATTATGTGTATATATATGTTCATCCCAAACACTCCTCTGGAATGTTTACCTACAAACCCCTGTTCAAACATAGATCCAAGCATTGACGCCAATGGCGTCCCCTAGCTGCTTCATGCTGCTTCCTTCTTGACGGTGTTTGAAGAAAACTATCCAATGATGCCATTCAAATGTGCTAACCAAAGAGAGCTGACAAATGATGACCATTGCCCAGCGTGCCAGATGAAGGATGAACCATGCGAAGTGAAAGAGTGAAACACTGCCCGTATGTTGCTTGCGGCCTGGCAACAGGACCAACAAATATTACTCACTGGTCACCATGTTTGGCATCTGTTTGTGTTGAGGGTAGGACCTGGATCTATCAGGAAGCTCACCTTTCAGCATCCCTCAGGACCCACAAAAGCAGCTCCAGTCCATTGGGACTGTCAGCAGTCAGCAGTCCGGTCGGCCGGAAGATGCCCGGACCAACTGATCAAACAAATCCCAAAGTCCACAGGTTAGAAGAACACCTCCAAATCAGAAGTTCAACTGGGAAGTCCTTCCATTTTTATTTGAACAGTTCACAGTCCAAATCATCTGGCACTGGGAAGACCTTAAACTACGTTGGCATGACCACGAGATCAGCGGCTTTTAGCGGCAGCGCCGCTCTTCGACCATGGAAACGCTGGCCTTGCGCTCTGAAACGCTGGCCACCGCCCGTAGGAAGGGAAGGTCGCAAGAGGAGAAGATCTGCATGCCCTGCGTCGCGGTCGACCGCGTGGCTTTAGCCGATTCGGTACGTCTGGAAACGGGGTCGACTGGTCGGATGACCCTGTGAGTGCTAGTAGCAGGGGGCGCCGGAATGTAGATGCTATAGGACTTAAGATGAGGTTAACAATGAGTGGTCGGCTAAAAGTTGATTTCACAGCCTCATCAGCAAATTGTTTAAACTTAAACAGGTTACAGTGGCTTAAGGTGTTTGCCTGTGGACCTCCAAAAAACAATAAGGCTCAATAATTCCCTGGCCAACCTGAAAAAATAAACAACTAAAAACCTAAAACACTAAACTTTTTCAACGCTTCTCGAGAAGAAGCTCCCCCCTTCCTCCCACGCGGGTACGGGCCGGGTACGTTCCCTTCGATGGCCTTGAGTGCCTGGGCGGGTCGCGGAAGGGAGCCTTGCAGTTGCATGACCTTGGCGAGGCGACGGCGGTTCGCGTTTGTTTCGCAGGGGGCCGCAGGCGCTTGGACAGCAGGATGGAGTAGTGGGGAGGTGGTGCAGTGACAGCCACACCTGGATGGAGAACAAAAAACCGCATCAGTCTGCAAGAGTGTGTGTGTGTGCGGGTGTAAGTGAGTGTGTGTGTAAGTCTGTGTGTGGATGTGTGCAAGTGTGTAAGTGTGTGTGTGTGTGTGTCAAGTGCCAGAACTTCCATGGTTGCAACCTATTTACACGAGAAGTCTGTGACCCTTGCGCAAGCGACTCCCAGCGTAAGGGGTCATGGCATAGGACACGTGAAGACATGCGTGAATCGTGGTATATAAATCTATACATGAATCCCAGGATAGCCTCCAAGTTCCAAGCTGACATCCCAGCATCAGGAGAACTTCAATGAATCTTTGGATTTGTATGTCGGGCAAAGGAACTCTTTAAGACTCTGTCTTCTAGGGGGAGTTAATGCTTCACCCCAAAAAAAACCGAAGGACTCACCCAGAAACTACTGCAAACCATCTGAAAGCAAGTTCGGTTGGGTCGCCTACACGTGTGGCAAGAAAAGCACAACAAGTTAGCGGGAGTTTTTGTAGGCCATAGTTCGCCTTCCTTGCCGGTGCCCAAAAGCAGTGCCCAAAGAAGACTTGACTTGGGGGCCCAAAAAACCTTCCAGTGATGTCCAGTGATATGGTTTTTCCAAATCCAAGAAGTGTTCCAAAGATCTCCATTGGAATCTTCCTGGAGTCGACCCGTTCGTACCTCGGGTTCAATGGGTACAGTCGTACCTGTTCTTTATGTCGGTCATGCCGGTCATGTCCCATTTTCTAAGGTACTTTGGAGGGTCCAGGTTCAGGCCGTGATCTTTTTTGCCACAAGAAAACACTCCCAAAAGATCCCAAAAGACCCCGATCCGCCGTTCAGCCTAGCCACAATCTCCCGCAAACGACCCATAAAGCCTTGAGTCTTGGCAGGGCTTTGCTCCATGCAAACATGCGAACACGACACGCGGGTCAGGTGTGAGGGTGTAGCCAGCAATTCAAGTGTTCGCTGCTGTTTTGGGGGGAAGTTATATCCCAGATTCAGTATGATTCAATGATCCATCTCTTGACTGACCCCTTCAGTTGCGACTGACCCCTTCAGTTTCACTTCCAATAGAGGTATTGACCTGGCCACCACTGGTTCAACCTTGAGTACAGAAACCCATCCCCCCAAGAGTTTCAATCGGACTGGCTAGGTGAATGGTCCAAAGATCATTAAACATCAGTCGTCAAGTTGAGGGTTGCTAGCTGGTTGCTCTCACGGAAGATCCAATCGAAAAGAGCGTAGCTTGGGCAGGAGGGTAGCTGCTTAGAAGCCAATTCCCGAAAAACATCCTGGCCAATCCTGTGAAAGGGTGCTGCTCCGCTCCCTGATTCCCTAACGAATCTAAGGTCGCCGCCCTTCCAAGAGTGATGGTGGAAGATTTCGAGAACCAGGAAAACACTGCTTAGGATAACAACCAGAAGGGAAAAACTTCAATGATACACCGTGCATGCTTTGGCAAGGCCTTAATTTTGAGGCGCAAGCCATTTTGGCAGTAGTTGTTGATCTATATAGGTCTTTTGATCCACTTAACGGACGCTGAACACGCCTGGACAGAATGACACGTTCTCCACTTTCTAGATTGTCCACACTTGCAGGTGAGCATCAAGCAACGACCAAGTAAGTAAGGGCGATCTGCCCAGCACTTTCCAGGACGATTTGCTCAACCGGCACGAATGGGTCACCCCCTCGAGTCATATCATGGGCCAACGTAGATGGGAAAATGGCTCCGAGTTCGGATGATGACATTCTCTACAAAACAGGTTGAAGAGTCCAGCGAAGTGTAGAACGGCATACACCAAGGGGCTACCAGTGATGCCAGGGTAGAGCGCCAAAGCATCCAAAATCACCTCACGGCGATGGCCCCGAAGCCCCTCACGGTCACGTCTGTAGGGCGGCACGCCCCCTTCCGCGACCTGGCACCCACCCCAACTACCTTCCTTTTCGGTTTGTGGAGCCCCAACTAGGCCTTGATTCATCCAGAGCGGGACAGGATCTATCCCAAGGTCTTTTGTTCTGTTTTTGAATAAGTGTGGATGGATGTGGATGGGCAAGATCTAGCATAACAATGCTTCACATACCTCCATGTTAAGTCACTGTGCGGTTTTCACATGTCTTGCGCAATGAAGAGGGGTGTTACGTCCAACACCACAGCCACCATCATTAGCTACCATGAGTCATATCGTGGTTGCATTCGCTCACCAGGAGTGTGTCAACAAAAAGACCGTCCTTCAACCTCCCTACCCCCCGTAAAACCTGGTCCTGAACGCCTCCGGTTCGTAGTGTTGTTGGTAAGACCAGACCACCTGACTACCCTACAGGTCCAGCCTGATGCCAGTAAAAAACCTCCTGTTACGTCGTGTTGTTGGTAAGACCAGCTCCAGTCCGGTCCGATCCATAAAGGCTCCACGTTCTCAGCTTCGCCGGGTGGCACTGGGAGGGATGGCAATGGCATCCACCTCCGTCTGGGCGCGCACCGTCGCGCCGCGAGGGACCCCGCCGTGCAAGAAGCAAACCTCGGCGGAGGGAGGGCGGAATCGGAGACCCAGCGGCGAAGCCACTGCGGATGGACTGAAGAACTGGTGAAATTAGGCAAAGAAAGAAAAGGAATACATTATCCCAGTAAGTCTAAGCACGTGCAAAGGATACCCCTGGGACTCTCTGGGTTATACTATTACATGTCTTTCTTCCTGAGTGTGTTGAAGAAACACACATGGATTATGACGCACTCTAACATTCATGGTGGCTACCGGATTTTACCAAGTTGGTTGATGAGAATGGATGCGCACTGAAGGGGAAAAGGGTTGATAGATGGACTCATTTGAGAACAGTCCGCTTCCGGATTGGACCCATTTCATCAGCCAATTCGTACCAATGCCACTGAGCCACATGTTGGGCCAGTTCGAACGGTATTTCCGGCTTTGCTGGTTCTTCCATTCTGTGTCTATTGTATCCCTGCTACGGTTGGACAATCCCCCAACAAATAACGAAAAGCCCAAGCCAATCCTCCCGAAGCTCGCTCGCTTTGCAGGTTCGGTTCAGCCATGGCACGTCTCCTAGCACAGCTCCCTCCGTGAGAGTGCCAATCAGCTGTGGTACTGCCTCCTCCCCGTTGTAGGACAACTTTTCGACATCGGCCTGGCCACATTGAACATTGCAGCAGGGTCCAGAAACAGTGCTCAAGAGTCGGTGGGTCCGCATGGACTGAGTCGCTAAGCTGCCAGGGGGATTCTATGAGATGGTTGATGCCACCGGGCTAGTGCTGGCCACAAAGAACATGGTTGGACTTCTTCTTGCACTCCCTAGCTCAAAAACATGCGTTTCCATGTATGCATATTTATGCTGTGAGAAAATTTAACACTTTCATGTATTCCAAAGCTTTCCATGTTCTACATGTTGTTGGATGTTTTCGCTTGTACTGTATTATGTTGCTATCCACTTCCCAAAACGTTCGGCCCATTTTGAGACCAACAAACAGTCGAACACACCTGCAATCAGGCAGGCACCTTCCCATGTATATACATAAAATAGAAACTGCGCAGGAAGAACTTTTCGCAATCCACAATTCAGAGGTCAATGATCCCACATTGTTTGTCATATTCTTGGAGTAGGTCTACATCACGACAACAGGTAGTACCACTCACTACTCTTAATTTAAACATGTTGCACATTGCTTTACCTCTGCAATAGGTTTCTATCTTGATACTATGGCTTCTCAACCAGCCATCCTCTAGGTACATTGGGCCAACCATCTAACATAGCCATCCCCTTCTGGGTAGATCCCCTTCTGGGTACACGAGTCTGTTTCCCGTTTCGCGACCACACGGGGGTCGTTACCACGTTTGGGAGATCCCTTTAACACGCCCACCATGGATTCGGAGGGATTCTTCCGGGCCCAACACCTTCACTTCGCGCGCCGGCGCCTTGCCGCTGTTGATGGCGAACAGCCAATCCGCGACATCACCCAGGTCGTCTTCCTCCACCTGCGCGAGACCGGTCGCGAGACCCGCGCGAACGCGCGACCCACCACTCCGGGAGAGTCGAGGAACCGAGGAACCGAGGGGAGAAGAACCGGAACCCGGAAGCTATCTGTGCCAAAGGCTGGACATGAAGAGTGGGACATGCAGATCAAGAGCCGGTTGGTTTGACCCCCATCTGTTCAATACAGTTTGGGTTCCGGGCGGCCAGGACCTGGTCTTGCCTTCTTTCCGTGCGTTTCATTCAGTACTAGCGGGTGACTGGAGCGTCTGTCGGCCCCAGCTTCTTTTCGGATGTGGCTGGAACCTTATCAATTCTTCTGTGACTGATGATAGCAACATGTCTGAAATAAACAAGTCTTGGCCCATGCAACGAGCTTTTTGCCGGTGGGTTTGGCAACCAGGACATCCCCTGTTTGGGTGATGGCCAGTGATGGCGATGATTAGGACTCAACATGTGATGTGATCTGAGCACCCAAATGAGACCCTGAGCCCTTCATGACCTCAAACTGGAGTCTCTGTCTGTTTTCTGCAAAAACAACGAGTGTCGAGAGGCCAAGGTCTCCCTGGGCAAATAGTGCTTCCTCTGACAACCACAGGCAATGAGCCAGATCACTTCGGGTGGCACCTCAGCAGAGCCCAGCACTCCATCCCATCCATGGAGCGATCACGCTTGAGGTCATTGTTCCCCGAACACGTGCAAATGGGGCACCAAAAACGCGCAGAACATGCGCAAATGGTTGAAAAAATGGATCGCAGCCATCTGCAAATGGACAGAAGAACCCGGCTTTGGGAGATTTGGTGGCAGCAAAAGGTATGAAGGTACTGGCACTGATGAAAGTGGAAGATGTCCAGGTGGCGGCGACGGAGAGTTTTTACAACAGTCATGTGCTATCCAGACTTGGAAGTCAGAGGCGTAGGTCAGACATCATCCGGACCTTCTCGTTTTCAGGACACCGGATGAAACAAGTCCAAACACAAGCGTCAACAAGGGTGGGGCCTCTTTACAAAAATTGATGTTCCTGTACTATCCTGTACTCTTGAGCATGTGTGTGGTTTAAATGTAGTTTAAATACATTTGTCAGACCCTGGTCAGACCCCTGGTCATGTCTTTCTGGACTTTACTACGACGTCTCTCTTTATGCGAACTCCCACCTTCGAAAAGGTGTTTGACCTAACAGGATGAAAACGGGTCAATAGTTGGCCATGGCAAGTGTTCATGGCCTGAAAAATCGATCCGATGTGATGAACCCCATCAATGAACCACCAAACGTGTTGCCGAACCCATCCTGACTGTTGGATCGCAGCCTGCCAGCTGGCCGTGTCGAGGCAGAAAACCATCCAAACGTGCGGGCAAAGAGAACAATACCCGCAGCCTAAACGTGCATGCTGCATAAACGTTGTGGGTTTTTGTGGGTACATTGGATGAGTGACTGATGAGCCACTTTTGTCACTCTTTCAAGTTGATAGGAGCACAATTGACACAGATCAGATCGCTGGTTCTTTGGGGCTTAACCGTGGTTTAGTAAGACATCCTTTCCATACCAAAAGGACAACAAGGGATACTATATAGTAAGGGTCTAAGAGCGCCGGTTGGACAGTCAAGCTCACTTGGCTGGACACACAGTCCAGGTCGTGAAAAGAAGTTATTTAAAGATGTTCCATGACTACAGTCGCCAATGCTCACCCAAGCAAGGTAACTTCTTGCATTCTAATGAGAGTTCCCAGACACCCAGTCACACCACCTGTCTGGGATTGGCACCTGGCACTGCTAAACCGTTGGGGTGGTTGGGTTTAAGGGACCAAATGGGTTGGTAACATCTTCCAGTCCCATTTGTCATGTCTGGGAATACTTCTATCAACAGTTGGGTCTTTCATTGTAAGGCATCTCTGCAACCCGCGATCACTCTGCCAAGAGACGCCGGGGAAAATACCATGCCGCAAAATACAAATGTAGTGGTCCTTGGCGGAAAGTGGGCATTCTTCCATCCATCCATCGTGACCGCGCCAACTGAAACGAATCTTCGCGCCACTTGGGTTGTATCTAAGTGAATCGGTTCTAAGCGCAGAGACCACGGTTGTCGGTCCTACGGATCCCACGCCTTCACTCCGCAAGACTAATAAGCTAAGGGTCGAAAGCGAGACGGGGCTGGCTTTTTAGCTTGGATTGGTTGAAACAAACAAATCAATACTAAAACTATACAGTTTTCTTCAAGTGGATTCACCTAATATTGAATAAATCACCCTAACATACCCTAACCATCCCTAACCTAAGCCTAACCAGGTGTTGAGATCTGGTGATCCTGAAGTCGTCCTTAGTCCTCACCCACACAGGCAAAAAGACAGGTCTTTGACGGTCTTTGTGATGAAGTCTTAAGAACGGTATTTGAACAGAATAAACATGGATGCTTTTTGATATACACTGTACACTGTACATAGGTTTCATTTAGCCCTGATCGAATCCTGTTTGCACCAGGCATGGATCCTATGGGACGTACAATATGCTGATCAATACACCTTCGACGTCCTAGGGCTGGTTGGATCGTCCTGTTTCTGACAGCAAACAATCTCCAACAAGGCACTGACGTACAGTATGGCAAGTGAAAAAGACGACCAGTTGATCGAGGAAGGGCCGAATGTTGATTGATCAGGAGACGACCGTGGGTCAAAATCAGCAGACCCTGGGTTGACCTTGGGTTGACGAACCTGGAAGGTGAAGCTACATGAAGGACCAGGGCTCCAAGTCTTGACCCATCCTCATATGGTTGGTTTCCAAAAAGTCTTTTCCCAAAATGGTGCACTCATCGCAATTCCATGGGGGCCCGCTTCTAAATCTCCTTTAAACTCCAAGCACGCTCAAACCACAGGGACGTTAAACATGAAGGCGTGTCAACTGCAAAAACTGTGAGAGGTGTCTAGCGCGGACCTTTTCAGGGGCCTGTTGAGCTGCTGGAGCTGTTGTTGCTGCTACTGCTGCTGCTGGGCTTTCACATGTTTGTTCTCAGAAATCTTCAGGACGACGTAGGAAGGATGTAAGAGCTGACTCAAAAGATGTATATTATACATTGCAGGTCTACCTTGGGTTGACGTACCTGGAAGGTGAAGCGGAGTTGGGGCTCCAAGTCTTGACCCATCCGCATATTTACATTGCGCGCTCATGCCCCCGCTCTTGACACCTGTCAGCACCTGAAATCTCCACGCCACCAACCCCCTTTTTCCTCCCAAAGGGAAAACAAGGAATCACCACAAGCAAGCAACATAGTTACCGACCCAGGGTAGATTAGAACCACCAGAGTTTGTGCTGTCAAAGCAATGCTTCGCAAAATATCGCCATAGCCATTAGGCAACTGGCTCCTTCCTACTTAAAAAAATACAGCATAATGAGTCTGAATGGCTCCTTCAACCACCCGGCCAAGAGTCCGTCAACCGGGAGAGGTTGGAGTGAAACTGCTTCAGCGCCTCACCTCGATGAAGAACTGGCTCGATGAGATCCTCGGCCACGTTCGCGGCCACGTTCGGCCGAACGTCGCGGCCGTTCGCGGCGTTCGCTCGTGCGCTGCTCAGGTTCCTGAAAGGCGGAAGGTGTCGATGTCACTGGTCTACATCCACGTCAATACAAAAAAGCAAAGCAAAGAACAATCCATAAGCTAGGAATACTTACAGACCTTGACGAACCAACGAAATCTGATTCAATGTAGGCAATTGCGTCATACGTGGTGTGTTTGGGTTCGGAGACCCTCTACAAAAAGAAGGAGCCTGTGGTCGCCCAATCCTTGAGGTCGACATGTGCCAGGACATCTGCTCAACTTTTTGCCATCGCCCAGTTGCTAATGTCAACATGGCAACCTTCACGCTGCTGTCATCCGCTGGCTTGATATCCTCAGCTTGACGAAGAAACTTGGCTCGATTCTTCTCGTTGTTGGTGCCTCTGAAACCCGCTAGGTGTGGGGCACCGATCGAAGGGATACTATGACCCAGTGGATCCCAGCCCAACTATGGAAGGAACCAGGGTTTGCTATGGTCTTATATGGCTTTATATAGTCCTTGGAACCACTGGTGACCAGCTTCGGTGGTAACTGGATCTCCTGAGTCACATACTATTCACCTATTTCCCCACCTATCTAATACCACAATTGGGACAAGAACACGTTGAGGCAGGTGTGCCAGTCCCAATGTTTGAACCAAGAGCTCACCGCTGCACGGTGTTTGTTTTCAATTTGGACCCCGAAACAGCACCTGGATCTGATTGGCTGCTGGATCCATCCGAAGACGTGTCTCACACCAACTGCGATACTCAAAGGATCACAAAAGGGAAAGAAACCAAGTCTTCCGGAAGCTTCAAAGCATACCCCAACAACCCGATATGGAGGGCAAATGGATGCTAATACAGATACATGTGTTTTGTGTAGTCTTTTTGAGATATCATGGTACATAGACATGCACCTACCATGACCATTTTACACATGTCATATATAGATGTCTACACACAGGTCCTCTAGGCTAGGGTAGAGTGACTTCTATAGATGGTACAAATACTATTCTACCACTTCTTGTGCCCCACTCAGGGGAGAAAAGCAAACAAGCTTAAGTATGGGGGGTGCGTCTGTTTTGGAGGAAAAGAACCACGTCTTTCGAAACAACAGATTGAATTGCCATTTCGATTTCTTTTCCGCCCAAACTTTGGGCTAAGGCTACATGTTCTAGGCAGTCCATCATCGATGTGCTAGCCTGACTTTAGTCTCCAACATCTTCTCCAAAAGAACCAGTCAACGTCCATTCTCACCCACGCACAGTTCCCAGTCCCCAACCTATCCCCACCTGGACCTGTCCAGGCCTGTCTCGTCCAAGCGGCCATCCGGAGCCAGCCAGAAAGGTTCGTTTGCTTCACGCTGAGGCAGCTGATCGGACACAAGTTGTAGATGTTGGCCACTTCATCCTGTGACCCAAAACCAGACGTGCGAGTTTGGCCGAAAAAGGGGCACGCGAGTCATTCTCTCCGAATCAGAGGTCAAACACAAGAAGCTGACCTATGTAGGGCTTTATCGTTCTGCTGACCTCCTCAGTTCCCCCTGCAAAATAAAGGTTAACCTATTGCTAACCTGTTTATAATTACCATTTGTTCACCGGTTGGATTTGCGTGGGGAACCAATCCCGAAAAAATCGTTGCAGGTGATTCACCTTTAGTTATTGGGTCTTTGGGGTGATGATTATCTGCTTTCCGTTGGGCAACTCCAACCGCACGGCATGACGTGATCCCGCGGAGAGTCATGCTCCCTAGTGACTTAGCTGGGGTTCAGCGAGGCAGCTAGGCGGCACCACTGAACAAATTCATGGTATGTGGCAAAAGACTAGTAACAAGGACGCTATTAATAGGTGAAGGCCATCGCAAGTAGGTCGGAGGCCATCGCTACTAATAGGAACTTAAGCAGCTGCTATAGTAACAATGACGAGACCCAAGAAAAAAAAATCATTCGACCTCGAGCTCCTGAGGAAAAACAGATCGACCTCTTTCTCATTCCTCGCGATAGTGGATCCGTTCAGGTGCCCCTCCAATCATTCGATCGTGTCGACACGAGGCAACCCGAGGGAGCCCGACACGAGACACCAGACACGACACGAGACACGCCCAGAGGTCAAACCACGAGACACGACACGGAACTTGCTGATCACCAGGTGAACTGGAACAAGCTGACCGTGTGAAGGAGATCCCAGGATGTGAAGAACGAAGGGCTGAGGTCCTGGTACATGTCTATCTTGTCAAATCTGCTTTGACTCTGACATAATACATTGTTCGACATTGTTATTGTTACTGTACTTAACTTAGATGTGTTTTCTGGAACCACTTCGCTCATGGAACAAGGACAAGCAAACAACAAAAAGAAACATACACAAAACATATAGACGTCCCTTCGCACGGACGTGATCTCCGTCACGTCCCTCGGTCCCACCGGGGGTTTCGGACCTTGAGCGGACCTTGCAAGGTCTTCACGTCCACGCTCATGCATTCTTCCTGGGCATCCGCTCGCTCGTGCCGAAGAGTGGTTGAAGAACGAACACAGTGAACAAACGAGTCAGTGAACGAGTCAGTGAGTTCAATCATCCCCAAGATATCCCAAGTGAAGGTTTAAACTAAACATACTTCAGGAGGAAGAACGTTTGGTAACAATTTCCCTCGAGAACTCATTGACATGACGTCTCTTTCCCAATAGAATTCCGGCGGAGTAATTTCCACCCCAAGCTAAACTGTAATATACAATAGTCTACTATATATAGTTTAGTTGGAAATTACTCTTTCCGCAAGTCCACTGTGATCCCCTCTAGGATTCTAAGGGTTTGTAGGGTTATATGTCATGATATGTCATGTATTCACAGGCTCGTTACTCACTTGTGTCCTGTCTGTCTCATCAAGGGCACCCCGCCATCGAAAGGGCACCGGGTTGTCATGGGTTGTCGTTTCAGGACCCAGTTGAGGGCCCCATGGTCCAACCAGTGCAGCTTGCTCGTACGGCCCCGAACTGTAGCTTTGCAAGCTGCAGCTGCTGCTGCTGCTGCTGGGATCATTATCACCCGCTGCATCCCGCTGTGAGGGTCTGGGGACCAGACCCCACCTACTCGTATCATTCCTCATGACAACATTATGACCCTTGCCGCATGTGTTTCGTCAAACCATCGGTTGAAGGGTGTTCTCTTCCAGATTTGACGTGAGACATCCCTCAAATGCTTGCCCCATAGCCTGCGGATGTCGCTATGTGCCACTAAGATCACCACAGTCTGTTCCTAGATGCAGATATTGAAGAAGCCCTCAGCCTCATCCTTCCACAACTACTCCTTTCCTCCGATTCCTCCTCATGAATCCAAACGCCTTCGCCCGCAGGAAACTCTAAGAAACTATTTCTCGACGTTCCTCCACGTTTCCGCTCCTCAACGCTCCTCAACGCTCCTCGTCGGAAAAACCGGGGCCGAGTGGCTATCTCTTCGTTGCTCTCGTTGGTGCCCTTGCCCGCCTCGCTCCGAGCGTTCGGAAGACGCCGCTCCGAGCGGCCGGACTGGAACCGGCCGACGGGTTTCCGGGCGAACAGGCGGGGAGGGTCGTGAGACGGGGTGTTGGGGCCTCCAGGTCTTGACTCACAAACATATGGAACCATCGGTGAAAGGAATGGAGGTGGTCATCCAACTGTAAGAAGGAAAAATTGTTTGCATGAAAAACTTACATGAATATGTGTATTGTCAATCAAACAATGTATTGATGTTTCTCTATGTTAAGCAAATTAAACCAAAAGTTGAAACGCACATGGTTGTTGAAATCTTGCTGATATGTCTAATATAGACTAAATATTTTATTTTGACAAATATATATATATATATAACTATACACATAGGTTTCTGCTTGTACGACATATATGTGTTCAATTGACGACACATCGAAAAATTTGCAGTGTTAACTCAAGGGCCATTTTGCGTACAGACTAGTTTTTGTGGCTATTGTTTGCGAAACAACAACTGCATATCCTGACAAAATTGAAAAGAACTTATAAATACACCAGTTGGTGTGTGTGTGTGTCACACCCTGGACAAAGGGTCTCACCCCACCACTTTCACACAGGCAGGGGGACATGGCGTGCGTTCAGGGACCATGTCCAACGAAGCTACCTGACGCACGGGAAGCACTGAGAGACGTCTCGGTGTGTACCTGCTGAGTTCTCCACAAGCTGTGACCCTACTTTTCCACTTTTTGTTTCATGGTTCTTCACGATTTCCACCCCATAAACATTCGTCCCCAGCAGCTGAGCAGCCGGTTCGCTTTTCCGCCGCTTGCGAGTGCTAACATTGTTCAACAATACTGTTTCAGCTGACCTTTCCACCTTGCTGTTCCATCGCCTTCCTTCCCAACGTGGTAATTGCATTAACTGAAAATCCAAGTTCGAAGTGTGTCCTGCTCAGCTGTCCCACTCGGGTGCTGAGTGTGATCCCCTTCACAGGGGCGCTGTTTTTGCATGGGAAAGCAACCACCCCAACGCTCCACCGATCACTGGAACATCACAGGAAGGCACCGACACCCTCACAGAATCAACCGCCACACCGGCCGCCGGGCCAAAAAACGGTTCTTGAAGAATCCTTCAGATTCCGAACTTCTGATCTCAGATTTCAGCATTCAGTGTTCTTTTCATGTTTTCCAATCATGTGCGTGTTTCCCTGTTCGCTATGTTGCTGCCGCGATTCTTTCATTGACAGAACTCAAGGATGAGCATTACGACTCTTCAGCTTAATTCGAGATGCATGAACACACACCTACTAACAAGCTTACATTTAACACCACCTTACAACATACTCACCACTGACACCAGAGATGACACATTCAACAACAATGACCAGCCACAAGACAATACAACTCGGCATTTCTCCGCTGCTGCCGCGCCGCGCCGCGCCGCGCCATAGCTACGACCACGACATGCAGTTTCCGTGGCCCTACGCTCACACCACGCCACCACCATTACCTACCACACAACCTCAACCCACATGGCCGATGCCACAAACATCAACTGCACCCACTTTTCCCTCGACACAACCATCGGCATACCCTCACCCACAACCACAACCTTTTCAACCACCACCGTTGTTGCCCACCCCTACCGCCACTGCACTGACTTACGGCACACCATCCACTTGGACTTTTGTCCACCCATGTCATGTGCCACCGCAACCCACACATCCAACTCCGGTGTTTCCGACAGCAGCACCTCCCCCGTCCTACCTGTTGCCACCACCTCAACCCACGCCGCCGGCTGAACTTCCTCCCCCCATTACTCTGACACATCCCCCTCCAACACAGCAACAGCCTGCGACTGCCAATTATCCATCCACAGACCCCCAATGCGCCATCCCCCAGGGCGTTTGGCAACCCTACTCAGCCTTTCCCCCTGTCACACAGCCTTCACTCCAACCGGGGCCCCCGCCACCGCCTCCACAAATTACCAATGCCTCAACGCCAACCCAACCTCCATTTCAACAGCAGCTACCATCGGATCCAACACCACCGATCCAACCCATCCCCACGACTGCCCAGGACAATCCACTACCAGTCCAAAACACACCTCCACCAGCCACCGTATCCCAACATTCAGCATCCCCCTCGCTGGTATCTGCCACACCAGCACCTGGAACTTCACTACCAGCACCAGACAAACCTGACACCACTGCCTCACCAGCACCGCAACCACCTTCCCCGCCACCACCACACAGCAGTCGCCGTCACCGCCACAAGAGCCGACGCAAGTCCGACCATCACCACAGAGGACGCCACCGCCACCGCCGCCGACATCGCCATCACCGCCACTCCAAACACCACAGCACAACCCGGCGACGGCGGTCGCCTTCAACATCCACCTACACATCTAGCCTCACACCATCCCGCAGTCGGTCACCACCACAACCCATTGATCTACGCCCAAACACCGAACACACCAACCCTGACCCCTCACAATATCCCACCACAGCCGTCATTCGTCGCCCAATCAACCGTTGGCGACCTCCACCCAACTTTCACACCTTCACACCTGCAGACCAAATCCTGGAATGGCTCGAATTCCACGCCACCCAACTCGACAACCCCAACCGACCACACCACCAGTACATTGCCAATATCCTCACAGACTGCAACATCACCTACAAGGAGATCACCGATTTCCGACAATATACCCACGCTAAGTGGAATGACACAACTCACCAATACGACCAATTCCAGTACTATGCCATTTCACTTCCCTTCCTCAACACCAAAGCCACTACACCAGAGCCACCTGCGGTTTCCCGCGCCACATCAACCCACCGGGAAGTCGCCCACATCAACGCAGGCCA